ATTGTGTCCACGACAAGATAAAAGGTGAAAAAAGTGATTTTGCTTTTCTTGTAACAAGTAAATGTCTTGTATTGTAAAGAACAACATGTAATCATTTATAATTCCTAACGTCACACCTTGGCAATATATCCATTTCTGCCAACTTAACAACAGTCTGCAAATATTTACAAAAATGTATATATAAAATTACTTCTATACTTATAACTCGGACGAGTTTACTTTTCTCATGATATCGTAATGATATAACATTACTCATGCTACAGATGCTATTACGTTTTTTATAATCGTAGAAGCAAGACACTTTTTAAGATCATGTCTATTTAACTTCATATATAAATATATGTGTAATTAAACTGTACAAATCTATGAATGGTTTGTAAAAATTGTACATATTTTTAGAAAATATGTCACTTGCGAATGTTTAGTATTGTTGCAAATATCATAATACTATATCAAGACTCATGTTGTCAAATATATAATATTATGTATAATATATCAGTAGAGCAAAGTGTTATACAAACGTCAACTAGTACTAAAGAAATAAAAAAATGTACTTGTTTTGTGCAGGATTTTGTAAATGCCATTTTAATATATCAATAAGGTGTTTTTTGCACTTTGAACTACCAAGAATACATGTCCATTTCAAAGCTTCGTGATATAATTGAGTATCAATGCTATTCTCGGAAACATTTATATGTGATGTATCTTCAAGATATTTATTCAATATTTCTATTGCTTTATCCTATAAAAAACAGTGTAAAGTGTGTTACTATATGTATTTTGATTAATCTGTAACTTAAAAGTGTAGCCAAATGTTTTCTTATTTCAGAATTACTGTACATCTATAAAGGTTTGTAATTTGAAACAGTTTATATTTTAATTTTTTTAATATATGTACGTTTCTAAATGCACACTGGTTTAGTCTTTTTTTTTTTGGACAATGTCATATATATGTATATTCCTTTATAGTTGGTTTTTCTTATGTCAGTTGATAAAAAACGAACGGAAAAAAAATGTGTAACGTAAATCATGTATATTAAAAGACTCTTTTATTGAGTGATTTTTTAAGTAAAATTGTGTTTTGATTTTTTTTATTGTGTTCTGTATCAGTGCAATGTAGTATTTACCTTGATTTTTGCGCTTTCTGGAAACGGAAAAAGTTGTGATACATATTGAAGAGCANTAAATATTGGATACCATGTTATGTACCCATTTTNCACGTAAAGTACATTGCCCGCAAGATTGAAAAATGTGTCTATATTACTCATTCCTGCAACAGGATGTTCGTTGTACTTTGTATTTTGTATTAAAAAATAAAAAGCATCGTCGAGAAGTTNGGCTAAAGTGACGTCAGATACTTCATACATATCCCAATTCTGTGGCTCTCTATTTTTCAGAAAAAAACCAAGCTTTTCCCAAGAGGTATAATCATAGTTCACGCGATATCCTACAACAAACAAATGTTTAGAAAAATAATACCAAAAACATGACAAAGAAACAAAATTAGAGAAAGAGAAAGAAACAAAGAGAAAAAAAAAGAAAAGAATAAAAGAAAAAACATTATATTATAAAGAGTAAATGTAATATAGTGGTACAAGGTTGGAATATAGAATAACAAATACATAGGAAACTACGATCATAACTTGTTTGTATTACCATTTTGCTCTGTGATCACGATAAAATCATCTTCCTCAATATTCAAAACAACGATAGTTTTTCTTTCTTGGTCTAGGTACGAGTAATAGTGTGTAATAGACTTATTTTTTGATATTTTTACATATGTTACAGGTAACTTGTGTTCGCACATTTCTTTTGGATTTATTGCGATACAGTCTATAACTTTTATTGTGAGAGATTGTGCGTCATTGTCTCGTGTTACTTGTACCACAGGATAACCATGTTGTGTTATCCAGGACGTTATCACATTTTTTATATTTATATTCTTTAAATGAATAGTTGTATGTACGGCCGGCACAACACGTACATTTTCCCATAGAATATCAAAAATGGACTGTTCATTAAATGTGTCACTTGATGTATTCTTACTAATAACAACAAAGATCATAACACAAAATACATTAAGTGTATGTTTTACATTTTATAGAAAAATATGCATTATTGCTTTCACGTTACGTATAATGCAACTCACAGTTTAGTATACATTTTGTAAGTACTTTAATAATTATTACTTACGTGATAGAATACAATTTTATCGCTTCCTCAAAAATAGAGTTGTATAAAACAGTTTTGTTATAAAAGAAATTATTGATCATAGAGAATATATTAAATGCTACAACATAATTTCAATTAATCGAAAGGTATCAAACAATTATCACAAGAATATATATATCATATGTATATCCATTTTCATGTTTTTTACATGCAAACAATGATAGGTGTATGTTCTTGTATAGTTTGATAAAATATTCACGAATATTATTTTGCATAGTTTCATTTTTTGTATTTTTTTGTATTTTTTTCTTCATAAATTTCGAATTAATAGAATGAAATTTTATATTTTTATGCAGTTTCGTAAGCGCAGACTTAAGCAATTAATAGTTTTAAATTCTGAGTTTTCTTACATTTTTCTTTCCACATGGTACTGAGTGTTACGTTTGGGGAAAATAGATTTTCTTGTATTGGTACATCAGATTCAATATACGCTTGTGTATATTCAAAAACTACTCGTCGTGTCTGGATCGCAATCGACTTCAGTAAAGTTTCATTGTAAATCTGTTAATACAGTTTGTATGAGTACACATATATCTACTTTAGTTTTGGTATTTAATTTAAGGTGAAAAACTATACTGTTAAACTATCAAATTGTTAGTAATTTCGAAAAAGAGAAAATGTTTTAGTGTATGCAAATTATTAGTAGTAATATCACTTGACATTTGCTGTAAATATTACAAAGACTAAGTGGATATAGAATGTGATACTAAAATCTTTTACCAGAGTTTCTGACATTACTGCTTAATAAATATTTGTTTTCTTTCACATCATTTTGCATATATGTAGCATTATACATACATATAATATATGTGTATATTTACTATTGAAATGTGTATACCCGGTAAAAAATTTTTAATGTATAAAATTGTATGGACATATTCGGTATATAAATTTGCATAAATAGATATAATAATTTTAATTTGTGTACAAGTATATAGAAAAAATTTTTTGTTGGGTAATGCATACTGTTTACATCTTTTAAAAAACTACAAGAAATATACACTTTTTAGGTAATAATGTTACAGTATTATACATATATACAATATTAAAGTGCTTTAATATACCATAATAATTTAGTGTCTTTTATCAAATTTTATTAAATGCAAGACTTACTTGATTGACTAAATAAACTCCGTAAAATGTCAAAAAACCTTTAAGAAACCAAGGATCAGATTGTTTCAATGTAACTAACCATTCACTGAACATTTCTTGTATCATACTGCATACAATTAAGCATGTTACTTTCGTTTTTTTTATAATTGAATCTATTTCTCTATTGTATGCAATACTAGCGTCTCTAGAAATATTATTTTCTTACAGCAATTTTGTCGTTTTCATCTTATGTATGATTGTTTTAAGCTACTTTTACCTGAAGAGTACAAGTCCAGTAGTTACTATAGTTTTGTAATTGTTAGAGTTTATTGGAAGTGCTACACAGTGAACGTATGAGACTGATGTGGTATTCTTTTTCTTGTCGTCGATAAATGTCACAAACTTTTGTATAAGTAATACTGCGTATGAAATGTCGGTTTTCACTTGAAATCTAATTTGAATAGCAAGACGTGTATGATACAACAAGAAAGTATAGTTATAATAGTCAGTATACTCTTGTAATACTGCTGTTGCTACCAAATGAGTAGATATTTTAGGTGTAGTACGAAATACTGTATAGAGGTGATTTTCTTCAATTTCTTTATCACCATTTATATGTGATAAAACTATTTCATTAGAGGTATGGTTAAATTGAATAGTAAATGCAGCCTTGATTGCAGGATTTTTCCAATAAGGAAATATCCATTCAGCGGGAATACGCGGTAAAATCAAATATCTATATAATGAAAAAACGTAAATTATAAATATACACTGATATGTAACTATTAAAACTGTGTACATCTTATTTCTACAGAACGAAAAAAAAAATTGTTACTGCAGTGGCGTTTTATTTACTCACTTTTCTTTTTTAGTTTCAGGTACATATGGGATAAGTGTTGCAACTTTCTCTAAAATGCAATTATATTTCGAAGTTATCCAATATATTCCAGGTTGTATATCTCTTTTTCGTTGTTTTATTTTAAAATCTTCTATATATTGGTCCTTGAGAACGATGTCAATGAATCCTTCTTTTGTAGAAAATGGCTCGTATAACCAATGCGAATAATTATACCGAGGAATGTTAGTAATGATGTTAAAATCGTATATAACATTACAATAGTGTTTGACATACAGTCGTATTTTTTGGTCTGTACATGAAATGTTGAGTTTGACACAAGAATTGACGTTGAGTGAATTATTATGTACTTCCGCTGAAATATTCATAATATATTCAATCGGTTGTATACATTGTTGGTCTTGAGATAACTTTTCATCAGTTGAAAAAGCAAATATAGGTAGAAATATTAAGCAGAAAGTTCCAAAGAATGTAAGCATCTTCATACTGTGCATCTAGAAAATTATTTTGTTTGTTAAACAAGAAATGCATATGCCATTAAAGACGCAATAGACAAATTATAAATGTACACATCAATTGTTAATTTTTTATCAGATATAATTGTCAAAGACAGATGTGTATGACCCATCTAGAATATGTTTATCACTTGGTTTCGATGTCTTTATGTTTATCACGTACGCATATAGATACACTCGCATAATAGGTGTCATGATTGCGTTAATTTGATATATAGAAGGGGACGATTGGAGAAAGAAAAACGCAAAGTGTACTAGACAATTTTAACAAATTATTGTAGGAATTATTTATTTAAAAGGTAAAATAATCTCCTCGTGTCTTCAATTAATAAGCAGAATAAAATATACTTTATTAAGGAATGAAAATATAATTGTGCGAAACAATTTGAATGCAACGGCTCGGGAAAACACAAAAGTCAGTCAACTCGGAGCAGCGGATAACGACTGTTTTATTTTTCTCGTTTAGCGGCCTCGGTAGCGCCGCAGCTCGCTTATCTCTTGTTTTTCCCATCGTCAAGGACAGGGCGAGTATTCTCGCTCTTGTCAGATCTACCGGCATCGATCACGGGCGTTTCGATAATCGCTCGACTCAAAAGATTTTTCGCGCCGCGCCTAATGCCGCGTGGTCAAATAGATTAACATCCTACATTATTATTTGAACGAATAAAGGTATACTCGAAAAGTTTGTCTACAAATTTTGAGCGCGTTTTAATTATGTAGTATGTCACACATTGTGCAAATTATGTCATTGTAAATACGATAATTTTAGATTGCATTAATAGTTATGTAATAGTCATGTATGGTTTATTTAAAAGCAGTAAAATTTATACAATAAGTGATAAATTAAAGCAGAAATAAATTTTTTTAATAGAAAGAAAACACTTCCTCTCTCTCTCTCTTTCTAACGAATTTTATAGAATTTTACCGAGAAGTGAAAACTAGAAAATATACTTGACAACAATAAATATGAATATTTACCACATAATAAACGAGTTTTCATAACTTACCATGTTTGAGATAATATCTCTAGCTCCTAAAATATAAATCTTACTTTTCACTTTATACGTATTATCACTATATAAGTTTAAAAACGAATTGCCTAAGAATATCTGCGATCGTGCCTCTTGTAGAGATGATCGATAACTACAAGACAGTCTTTTCCGTGAAATAATAAATACTTATCACGATGTAAACACCTGTATCGAGAAAACGACTTTTTTTCGTAGATTGTGTTCCATGTATATACATATGTATGTATAGAATTATGAGTTTCAAAATATAAATTTTCACTGTTTACTACACATTCATATGTTTCGGATCCTCGCACTTTTCTTTAAAATACAGATAAAAAATGTTAGATAAAAAATTAGTTTTATGTTTGAAATATATAAATGGTCATTAGTGCAAATCGCTGGATGTTTGTGCAAAAAAATATATACAAGTAGTGTAAAATCTCTCGTAGACAGATAGAAAGATTAAAAGTGAGTTGAGAAGTCCTGAACTTTTTTATATTTATTACATATAAATCAGAAGTAATTTTTGGATAAATCACGCTAATCAGCGTCGATGTTTAGCTGAGCGAACGGCAGTGCACGTCAGTTGCGCGGAGAGCTCACGCACACTACCTAGATAACATTTTGCGAGCACAATTTTATCTCAAGGAGTCGTCATATGAACAGCATATAACCAGTAAATCTAGACGGTAGTTTGTACGTGAATATCTAGTCATCACACACAAGAACGACTTATTCATCATAAGTATGTAATATACCGTCAAATTAAGAGTAAATAATACTATACGTTAGCAACTTGCGCGTTATTCGATGGTATATTGAATAGATATTAGATAGTTTTTGTGCGCAATATGCACGCGTGTGCGAGATAAAATATGTTCGGAAACAAAATTCAAGCAATTCACTTACAAGAGGTACATACTTATTTAACGCGCGCAAATTTTGCATTCAAGAAATGTTATCTGAACAGTCGCGTGGTACACTGACATGCTTTCGGCTAAAAATCGGCGCTAAATGGTGTAATTTATTCACTAATTACTCTATTATTATATGTAATAAGAAAAAATAGTTCACTATTCGACTCAGTTTTACTCCTTCTAACTGTCTACGAAAGATATTACACTAATTGTCGAACACTTTGTATATAAGTATGCTTTTAAGTAATAAGCGATAAGTAAACAAAAAAATAATAAGTACCTAAGAAAATGTTCTTTTTGATTATAACACAATTTTATTCACAGAACAGTGGAAATTCAGAAAAAAAATGTTAGATAGCATACAAATGTTTCCACGTACATTTTCTTGAAAATATTGCGCAGTGATAAGAATTAAGGAATTGTCACAACATAGTAAAGTTTATTGTGCAAATACAGTTTTTATTATAAAATTTTGTTATACATAATTTTGTTTGAACATATTAACTAAAAAAACAAAATACATTATGAATAACATACTAATTTAATTCAATTATTGGTTATCAGGTTTTAAATGCATAAAAATATTATTACGAGTATCATATATCATTTTATCATACATAATACTGTTTGATATAAATTGCTTCTGTTTTATACATTTTATAGTTTTATATATCCAGATAATAATGTTTGCGTGCACGGTCTGCGGGCGTTAAATATGTAAATCTTATATGTAATTTGTCTGAATTTTGTTTGTGAACATATTTCATCGCGCATATTGCGCACAAGAATTTATCGAATACCCATCTAATATACCAACAACTAACGAGCAAATTGCTAACATATTGTAAGTTATTTACTCTTAATTTGAAAGTATATTACATACTTAGGATGAATAAGTCGTTCTTATGTGTGATGACAATATATTCACGTACAAAATTCTGTCTAGATTTACTGGTTATATACTGTTCATATGACGACGCACTGGAATACGATGTTACTCGCAAAATGTTCTCTGAATACCTACAGAATGTGTTTTTTTGTATACCGTGTGTTTTATATATTCAGTTGTGAGCAATTAACCTTAAAGGTATACTTAGTCGCGCAGTTGTGTAAAATGAAATATAATGTAATAGTAGCATTTCGTGTACCAAACATTCTATTTCATTTTATGATTACTTTGCGAATTATTAAATGTATTAAAGTAGCTAAATTCTACATTTTAAACATAATTAATAAATACTTTTTTGTGTCATAAAATAAATTAAATCTTGTTATACAAGAATAACGTTGATATTAACAGCAATACATAGATACCATTTTATATTTAAATTGAAACGCATATGTCTATACAAAAAAATTGGTAAAATCATCATGTGATTAATAGTGTAGTACATATTCAGGTACAACCCGAATAAGTAGTTTCTTGCTTCGTATAATCCTTCGACGCTTCACCATTTTCTTCATAATAACGTCGTGTATAAATAATGGCTGCAAAAATTACAAATTATATTAATGATAACATGATGTATACTTTTGCAAAAGTTTAATAATGTTGAATAAAACAATTTTATAATACAAAAAACAAGAATTACTACAAAAAAAAACAAAATAAAACTGTGTATGTGTAAACATATTATATTATAGTAGTAATAAAAAAAGTGTTGTACTCACGTAACAAATACTGAACAAATATAACAATTTTTATTTTAAAAACTTCAATTTGTAAAATAATTTTTAACTGTTATTTAAAAACTATATTCTATTTATAAAACCTCTCACCGTTTCTAGATTATATCTGTTGATTAAATTTGTAACCATCACTACTACAGTCTTAGTAATCTAAAACCACCATGGAATAATAATATTGAATATAATACTTTCTAAATCACTCACTATTATATATGTCATACTTTTATTATGCTAAATTACAACTATATAAATAACTAATATACTTTTTTTACGTACATGCTTTAATGTACGTATTCACATAAAAAGAAGATTGTTTTACAGTTATAGCTATATTAAACATTTAAGTTCACATAACGTACCGTTTCGAGATCTTCATCTAAATATATGTGGTTAATACTAAAATTCACAACTGCAAGTAGGCCAACCGGTCTTTTAAATGAAACACATATAACAGATATTTAGTATAAACTCTCTCTTAGTAGTTATATTATACTCTTGTAAGATAAAAAATCCAATGTATATAAAGTGAACAAACATAATATACATGGAAAGATATAAACTACATACAAGATGTATAGTGTAAATTATACATAATGTACATACAGTAATAGGATAATACAAAACTTAACAGGTTTATATAGAAAACTTTGTTCACCTTGGAAATTTATTTTGTATTTGGCTTAGTATAGTATCCAGTGAAGAAAATCTTTTTACGTGCTTTGCAACAATATGGAAAAAAATGCTAACAAAATCATTGTCTTTTCCTAAAGTATGTTCTTGTGCATAACGCACTTCTAATTTGTAATTGTGTCCACGACAAGATAAAAGGTGAAAAAAGTGATTTGGCTTTTCTTGTAACAAGTAAATGTCTTGTATTTTAAAGAACAACATGTAATCATTTATAAGTCCTAATGTCACACCTTGGCAATATATCCATTTCTGCCAACTTAACAACAGTCTGCAAATATTTACAAAAATATATATATAAAATTACTTATACACTTATTGCTCGGACGAGTTTACATTTCTCATGATATTGTAATGATATATCATTACTCATGTTACAGATGCTATTACGTGTTTTATAATTGTAGAAGCAAGACACTTTCTGAGGTCATGTCTATTTAACTTTATATATGAATATATGTGTAAGTGAACTGTACAAATTTATGAATGGTTTGTAAAATTGTACATAGTTTTAGAAAATATGTCATTTGCGAATGTCTAGTGTTTTTGCAAATATCATAATACTATATCAAGACTCATATTGTCAGATATATAATAGTACGTATAATATATCAATAGAGCAAAGTGTTATACAAACGTCAGTTGGTACTAAAGAAATAGAAAAACGTACTTGTTTTGTGCAGGATTTTGTAAATGCCACTTTAATATATCAATAAGGTGTTTTTTGCACTTTGAACTACCAAGAATACATGTCCATTTTAACGCTTCGTGATATAATTGAGTATCAATGCTATTCTCGGAAACATTTATATGTGATGTATCTTCAAGAAATTTATTCAATATTTCTATTGCTTTATCCTATAAAAAACAGTGTAAAGTGTGTTACTATATGTATTTTGATTAATCTGTAACTCAAAAGTGTAGCCAAATGTTTTCTTATTTCAGAATTACTGTACATCTATAAAGGTTTGTAATTTGAAACAGTGTATATTTTAATTTTTTTACTATATGTACGTTTCTAAATGCACACTGGTTTAGTCGTTTTTTTTGGACAATGTTATATATATGTATATTACTTTCTAGTGAGTTTTTCTGTTGTCAGGTGATAAAAAACAATCGGAGAAAAAAATGTGTAACGTAAATTATGTATATTAGAAGACTCATTCATTGAGTGATTTTTTAAGTAAAATTGTGTTTTGACCTTTTCTATTTTGTTCTGTATCAGTGCAATGTAGTATTTACCTTGATTTTTGCGCTTTCTGGAAACGGAAAAAGGTGTGATACATATTGAAGAGCATTAAATATTGGATACCATGTTATGTACCCAATTTCCACGTAAAGTACATTGCCTGCAAGATTGAAAAATGTGTCTATATTACTCATTCTTGCAACAGGATGTTTGTTGTACTTTGTGTTTTGTATTAAAAAATAAAAAGCATCGTCGAGAATTTGGGCTAAAGTGACGTCAGATACTTCATACATATCCCAATTTTGTGGCTCTCCATTTTTCAGAAAACAACCAAGCTTTTCCCAAAATTTATAATCATAGTTAACGCGATATCCTACAACAAACAAATGTTTAGAGGAAAGAAATACAAAAAACATATAAAAAATCAAAGAAACAAAGACAGAGAAAGAGAAATAAACAAAGAAAAAAAGCGAGAAAAAAAAAATAGAATAAAAGAATAAACCTTATATTATAAAGAGCAGAGTAAATGTAATACGGTGGTACAAAGTTTGAATATACAATAACAAATACATTGGAATCTACGATCATAACTTCTTTGTATTACCATTTTGCTCTGTGATCACGATAAAATCATCTTCCTCAATATTCGAAACAACGATATCTTTTCTTTCTTGGTCTAGGTACGAGTAATGGTGTGTAATAGACTTATTTTTTGATATTGTTACATAGATTACAGGTATCCACCACTTGTGGTCACACAATTCTTTTTGAATCACTGCAATACAGTCTATAACTTTTATTGTGAGAGACTGTGCGTCATTGTTTCGTGTTACTTGTACTACAGGATAACCATGTTGTGTTATCCAGGACGTTATCACATTTTTTATATTTATAGTCTTTAAACGATTATTTTTATGTACGGCCGGCACAACACGTACATTTTCCCATAAAATATTAAGAATGGACTGTTCATTAAATGTATCACTTGATGTATTCTTACTAATAACAACAAAGATCATAACACAAAATACATTAAGTGTATGTTTTACATTTTATAGAAAAATATGCATTATTGCTTTCACGTTAGGTATAATGCAACTCACAGTTTAGTATACATTTTGTAAGTACTTTAATAATTATTACTTACGTGATAGAATACAATTTTATCGCTTCCTCAAAAATAGAGTTGTATAAAACAGTTTTGTTATAAAAGAAATTATTGATCATAGAGAATATATTAAATGCTACAACATAATTTTAATTAATCGAAAGGTATCAAACAATTATCACAAGAATATATATATCATATGTATATCCATTTTCATGTTTTCTACATGCAGACAATTATAGGTGTATGTTCTTGTATAGTTTGATAAAGTATTTACGAACATTATTTTGCATAGTTTCATTTGTTGTATTTTTTTTTTCATAAATTGCGGATATATAGAATGAGATTTTATATTGTTATGCAGTTTTGTAAGCATTGATTTAAGCAATTAAAAGTTTTAAATTCTTAAGTTTCTTACATTTTTCTTTCCACGTGGCACTAAGTGTTACGTTTTGGAAAAATAGATTTTCTTGTATAGACACATTAGATTCAATATATGCTTGTGTATATTCAAAAACTACTCTTCGTGTCTGGATCGCAATCGATTTCAGTAAAGTTTTATTGTAATTCTATTAACATAGTTTGTATGATTACACATATATCTATTTTACTTTTGTGTATTACTTTTAAATGAAAGCATACAGTGGTAAGCGACCAAATCGATAGGAATTTCAAGTAATAAAAAAATTTTTAGTATATGCAAATAATTAGTAGGAATATCGTCCAACATTTTCTGTGAATATTACAAATACTAAGTCATCATAAAATGTGACACTAAAATCCTTCAACATATATTTTAAATTTTCTACTTAAGTCGTATCTGTTTTCTTTTATTTCGTTTTGCGTATATGTATTGTTCATACATATACATATGTGTATAGTTGCTATTGAAGTGTGTTTAATGCATACTATTTACAAGTTTTAATAAAAATACACGAAATATACACTTTTTTAATATTACTGTTAGAATATTATACATGTTAAATAATAGAAAATTATCTCGGGCTCTTTTAGTATCAATCTAAATGAATATATGTAAGTCTGGTCAGTAAAAGTTAATCGCAGAATGTTGTGCGAAAAAATAATGTGCGTATATATACGCTGCATACATTTATATAGTTACATTTACGTGTAAATTTTTCACGTGAGGTTTTTGAACTCAAATAACAATTCTTTAAATTATATAGGATTCTAGGTTTGCATATATGAAAAACTTCGTATACCCTCTTAACTAATATTATATATATAATAGTAAAATGTTTTACTTAAGATAATAATTTAGTGTCATCTATCAACAAACCTACATTAAGTGCAAAACTTACTTGATCGAATACATAAACTCCGTAAACTGTCAAAAAACCTTCAAGGAACCAAGAATCGAATTGTTTCAATGTAACTAACCATTCGCTGAACATTTCTTGTAGCACACCGCGTACAACCAAGCACGTTACTTTTGTTTTTTTTATAATTGAATCTATTTCTCTATTGTATGCAATATTAGCGTCTCTAAAAATAATATTGATCTTACAGCAATTTTGTCGTTTCCATTCTATGTATAATTGGTTTTAGCTGCTTTTACCTGAAGACGACAAGTCCAGGAGTTACTATGGTTTCGTAATTGTTGGAGTTTATTGGAAGTATTAAATACTGCACGTATGAGACTGATGTAATATTCTCTTTTTTGTCGTCGATAAATGTCAGACACTTTTTTATAAGTAATATTGCGTATGAAATGTCGTTTTGCACTTGCAATCTAATTTGAATCGTAAGACGTGTATAATACAACAAGGAAGAACTTATATAATAATCGGTATACTCTGGTACATCGGTATATTCTGGTAATACTGCTGTTGCTACCAAATGAGTAGATATTTTAGGTGTAGTACGAAATACTGTATAGAGGTGATCTTCTTCAATTTCTTTATCACCAACCATATGTGATAAAATTATTTCATTGTAGGTATGGTTAAATTGAATAGTAAATGCAGCCTTGATTGCAGGATTTTTCCAATGAGGAAATATCCATTCAGCGGGAATACGCGGTAAAATCAAATA